TCTATCACCTTCTGCCTCTTCTAGACGAAGTATGAGCCAAGCAGCCTGGGAACTACAGAGGGTAGATTTCCTCAGTCCAGGGGGCTGAGAGGACACGTCATCCATCACCAACATGGAAGGAGAAGCAATGGGATGAGGGGGAGAATGGGGAAGGGCTGGAAGTCTACTAATTCTTCTCAAAGTGAACAAAAGTTTCTTTCTATATTAGGTTATTAAGAACGAAATATTTGATTTGCATAAGTCAAAATTTTACAGTTGGTATCTCTGACATTTCACTTTGACACTTGTTATTTATTTATTTATTTATTTATTTATTGAGACAGCCTCTCACTATAGCACCCTCAGTAGAGTGCCATAGCGTCACAGCTCACAGCAACCTCCAACTCTTGGGCTTAAGCAATTCTCTTGTCTCAGCCTCCCAAGTAGCTGGGACTACAGGAGCCTGCCACAATGCCTGGCTACTTTTCTTGGTTGCAGTTGTCGTCAGTGTTGTTTAGCTGGCCCAGGCTGGGTTCAAACCTGCCAGCCTTGGTGTATGTGGCTGGCACCCTACCCACTGAGCTATGGGTGCCACTTTGTTTTATTTTTATTGTGAAGGTACATCCTTATTCTTTCAAAAACATGTTTGGCTCATGATTATTTTTCAAATTTTTTTTTTGAACAATTTTTGTGAAACCATGGATCAGTCAAAAATTCATGTTACTTTCGCATATGAGTTCTGTTGCACAGACAGCTTGAAGTATCAATGAAGTGTTTGGGAAGGGTGTGGCTAAGGAGCACACAGTACATCTGTGTGAGAGAAGTTTGTGAAGTTCTGTTCTGGTGATTTTAATTTTGAAAATGTGCCATGGGGGCCATTAGTAGTACAGCTAATAAATGAAAAGGCCACAGTAGACTTCAAGTACTGACATTTTGTAACCCCTGCTGATTGACATCAATGGCAGCTGACAACGGAAAGGACACTAGACATTATGTGGACTCAATGCTGCTGCATCATAATTCTTGAAATACTGCTAATTTTTGGAATGTCACACATAACCCATAACTAAATACAAGCAACAAAATTCATTCTCCCCTCAAAATAAATAAAAAAAAAAAACCACAGGAATTATTCATGTCATGCTTCCTTTTCACTAATGTAACTGAGAGAGCTACAGAACTAGACATGTTTTCTTGCTATCTGAACTAACACATGCACTCCGGTAACTCTTTGCCTACATTATTAATTTAATTCTCACAACAACCCTATTGTGGAAGTTTCTATTATTCTCATTTTGCCCAGGAGGAAACTGAAGCTGGGCAAGTTAGGCTGCCCTGTCATAAGTGACAGAGCTCAGTAAAGGTCTGTTGGACTCCAAAGACCGTGATCTTGGCTACTCTGCTCTACCAGCAATGTTGTGTTGCCAATAGTTGCTCTCCCCACTACCGTTTTGGTGATTTAGATCACTGTGTTCTACGCAGTTTTGGTGGAATACCTGTGGGCATCCATCCAGAAAACTCAAACACTTGGACATTTTTTAAAAAAATTTTTCTACTTTTTCTTTCTTATTCTAAGGAAATAAGCATGAAAATCATCAGTACACCATGGGTGAAATGGGGGCCTATCAGGGTTCCCAACAAGGGCTGTATCATCAACAAAACCTGAGGTGCCCACTAAAAATACATGTTCCTCAATACCATCCTAGACATTTCCAGAATCATGAGGTATTCTCCAGGAATTCCAGGTGTCTCTGAGGCAGATCAATTAGAAACCTAGATATAACCAACACATCAATTTATTATTTATTATTTAAATTTATTATTGATTTATATTGAATTTTTGATTTATTGAATATTAAACATTGATTTCTTAATACAAATAATAAATCAATATTGATTATATTGAATATTGATTTATTAATTTATTATTGAAATACTAAATTAACATTCTCTTCTTTCTTCAAAAATGAGTTTATTGTAATAAGATTATAATTTAGGCACACATTTCAGATTTTAGCAGCTGGTTCCAACTGTATTAGGGGATTAATAAAAAAAAGCTGGCATCATCAGAATTCTTAACTAGTAGATGGACATTAACTGATTATAGACAGTGCTACGGGAAAAATGCTCAAATTGCCCAAATGGGGAAAAAAGTACTTGTACTTGCAAAGTTGGTTTGAAGGGAAAAAATGTGATCTGAACCATATTTTCCCATCAATTTTAATTGCAATATGTTTTTATGAGTAAAAGTACATATGCTAAAGTTTAAGCAAAATTTCATCTAGGAATGTCATATACAGTTGAAAAAATAAAGTAATTCTCTGATAAAAGTATAATTACTAAAATCACTAAATAACAAAACTAAACATAAAGGATAGAAATTATACAGAGGGAAACTATGTAAAAGATACATTTTCTTTTCACTATTAGAAGCTTTAAATGTAGAAGTTTCCTTAAATTTAGCTCATAGTTGTCTATTCAAGGTCCTTAACTTATAAGCCAGATGCAATTGGTCTAAACTCCTAAATTTGTTTTTATGAGGTTTTTTTTATTTGTTTTTACTTGAATCGTCTCTCCCCAAAATGAATCTTTTTTGGGGGGAGGGGGGCAGTATTTCACTTTGTCACCCTTGGTAGAGTGTCGTAGCATCATAGCTCACAGCAACCTCAAACTCTCAGGCTCAAGTAATCCTCCTATCTCAGCCTCCCAAATAGCTGGGACTACAGGTGCCTACCACAATGCCTGGCTATTTTTAGAGTCAGGGTCTCACTCTTGCTCAGGTTGGTCTTGAACTCTTGAGTTGAAGCAATCCACCCACCTCGGCCTCCCAGAGTGCTAGGATTACAGGAGTGAGCCACCACACCTGGTGTCACTGTGCCTGCCTCCAGAAATGCTTGTTTACTTATTACTTAGTATCTTTTGTAAATGCTTTATGCAAATAAAAGAAATTTGACTCTTTCATCTAGTGCTGGTTGTAGGATACTATAAGGTGTTCAAAGGTTCCATAAAAGGTAAAAGCTTATAAAGTTCTACAACTTACTGTTTCCTTAACAGATGTATATTTTTATATTGTATACTTACATTAAGTACTTTATCATTTATATAAATCTTTTTTTTTTTTTAATGAGACAGAGTTTCACTTTGTCACCCTCGGTAGAGTGTTACGGCATCACAGCTCACAGCAACCTTAAACTCTTGAGCTTAAGTGATTCTCTTGCCTCCAAGTAGCTGGCACTACAGGCACCCGCCACAATGCCTGGCTATTTTTGTTGTTGTTGTTGTTGCAGTTGTCATTGTTTTAGTTGGCCCAGGCCAGGTTTGAACTCATCAGCCTCAGTGTATGAGGCCAGAGCCCTATCCACTGAGCTACAGGTGCCACTCACACATAAATAATTTTTTTTAAGTTAATTTATTTTTTTAATTAAATCATAGCTGCATACATTAATGCAGTCATGGGGTACAATGTGCTGGTTTTATCTGAAATATTTTCATCAAACTGGTTAACATAGCCTTCATGGCATTTTCTTAGTTATTGTGTTAAGACATTTTAAATAATTTTTTTTTTGTGGGGTTCATGATTTTTTTATTCAATTTCCAAATCCAAGCCAGCTCAGAATCTGAGGTTTCTTT